GTTACAACAGGTATAGTTAAGACTCAGTCAGCAATGCTTCAAACTGCATTGAAAAACATTACTCTGTGTAAACATAACTAAAGGTTCATGGACAACATTCTATAAACCATGCCTCCATGCAAAACAGCAAAACCTTCTAAAGAAAAAGTTCAAGCTTTCAAGTATCCACCCAAAATTACACTATTAATACTCATTGTTCCTTTTACAACACAAAATTACTTCACCTGATTCAGAAATCCCATCTACCCTTTATTTTTCAAAAGAAAAGATCCAACTGTAATTAACTTTTAAAAATAAACATTAAAATAGAAACATAGTTGGGAGAGGGGGGATCATAGCATCTCTAATAGATAGGCCCCCTCCATCCGCAGAATCTCTAATCATCTAGATAATTTCTCCCTCTCTAGCTCACCCAACCTCAATCCATTGAGAGTGATCCCCCTATCCTAGTCATTGGAGCCACATTCTCTATTTACCTGAGGTCCACACCAAACCACCATATAAGTTCACCAACCTAAAGCCAGGAGGAAAGTATTAACTTTGCTGCAACAGGAGACGTTAACCCTGAGAATGACAATGAGATAAGAAAATGCAACAGGGCAAAGGGAGAACAATTTTTAGTTCATAAATAGGACCACCAAAGTCCAAATTATTCAACATTGACTCTGGCCATACAACATAAACATACTTTGGAGAAAAAGAAATTCATCCATATGGCATTTCACTGATTATTGATAGGAAAGGCTGAAGGCTTTGAGAAGAGATCAAGCCTTAGCAGGCACCTCATGGTGGCTCTAATCTTTGAAAGGTTCTTGCCACAATTTTCACACAGCATAACAATTGACAAATAGCCTTACCAATATGAGAGCAGGCTTTAGCTAAGTTCCAGAAGAAAATGTAAATAAAATAGACTAGGAAGCAAGGAAAACTACATCTTAGCATCTTATCCATAACTAATGACTTGTACTCCAATAGATTAATTATGAACTACGTGTGCATGATTTCCCCAACACATCCAAAAGATGCAATTTGAAAAGACACAAACATTCAATAACCTCTTAAAGAACACAAAAGGAAAAGAATATTTTATTTTTTTTTTTTTAAAAATATGGGAAAGAATATCTACAAATTTGATGCTGTCAACAAATCATCATCCAGATTCTTGTCAAATTTCAAAGATTATGAAAACTCTCAAGATACTGCAGCCTTAAAGGAACCAAACCTAAAATAATAATCTTCTTGCATTTTAAATGCTAATTCTATGATAAGTGATAACTAAGAATAAATTCGCTTTTAAAGGAGCATAATAAGAAGAATGCAATTACCAAGGACGAATATCACTTCCATTTGCTTGCAATATGTTTTCTCGCATGGCCAAACCCATATAAAGGAACAACAGCCAGGCCTGATGAAGCATTCATTCAGGTTTAAATTGCATATGATTACATCTAATGAACAGAATCACCATACGAAACTGAAATTAACAATTAAAGCAAATACCTGGTACAACTGTACAGGAAATGCAGGCAAGCATCCATCCCAAACCCAAGATCTTAAACAAAGCAGTGTTGAAGGGAAAAGAAGAAACAGAAGAGCAGTTTTATCCTGCTCAATAAAGTTGTATGACTCAGCACTTTTGCTTAAATGATTCAAATGGAAAATACCAACTAATCCTTAACTTTTTTACCAAATGGAAAACATTTCAAAGTTATATTGGGGAAGTAAAGGGGAGGGGGAATTGAACCTGGATCTCGCTCCCAGAGAATGGATAATAACCACTAGGACAAGTTAGTTCGTAAATGATTTCCAAATTAGAGAGCAAGAACACATGGGAACATGAAAGAAGATGGATTGAGGAGAACAAATACTCACTCTGTAACTGTTATATTCCTCTTTAACCTTCAACTGGACGTCTTTCTGAGTTGCACGCACATTGATTGGACCCAAAAACATCTTCAGGAATCCTCCTGTGGTCATACAAACAAAATAGTAAAAAAATCAAATTGAATGAAATAAGGTAAACTGTTTAGAATAAAAAGAAAGTGGAAAACACACAGGTTGTTCCCCTACCTTGTGCTTTGGTAGGAAGGAAAGCAGCTGCATCTCCATCCGCCAAAATACATCTGGCTCGCTGCAAATCCTCTTCTAACTGCTCCATACCCGTGATTTGAGTAATATCAGGTTAGGAATTCAGGACCAACAAAGAAATCACGAAATGAGAGAAACGAAAAATGAACAAGCACTAGCCTTATCAGCAAACTTATGATCCAAGAGCTTCTGGGAAAGAAGGGAGTCAATCAAGGAGCGGAGGTGGCGAATGGAGGAATCGAGAGACAGAGCTCTCTGGCGGAGAGATTGCTCGTCGTTGTTGGTCCGGGAGATTAGGGAGGAAGCTGATTCCTGCAACTCCTTGGCCTGCTCCAGAACTCTACCGACTTTTTCTTCTACTACCTTGTTCTCCGATTCCTCCACCGGCGTCTCCATTTCCGTCGCCAAATTCAACCGATTCAATTCTCTTTGGTTTTGCTCCTTCAAGACACAGAAGGAAAAGGAATCAGGTCTCAAAGAGTGTTTATGTGCTCACGCCACATGAGAATTGCGTTTTCAGATATGAGGTAGAAAAATAACACTTGGCCCTGGGCCCGACATCATACCGAGTCGGGACTGATTGCATTCCGAGAACTCAGCTTCGA